AATATAGAAACAGAATCTGATTTTCCAGCAGCAGGTACCCTGCATTTCCTGGAAGTTTTATGCTGGGCATAGCAGGTATCTAGCTGCTTCTGATGGTTGAGGCTATGGCCTGGAGAAAGAAACTTCTCCAGCATGTTAATTCTCCCTTTCTAGAGTAAGGGAGCAGGGAGCCACTGCAGAATGATTCATCTGCGGTTTTATGGCTTTCATAGATGTCCTTTGCTCTCTGTTTTAGCTTGTGTCAGTCTACAGCTTATATATCCCGGAAGAAAAGATTTAACCCATTAGGCCCTTTCTTTTGAAAACTATCACCTGCAAAGCACTACAGTGAAAATAGAGAGTAGATGAGTTAAAAATACACTTTTTGAGGGCTTATCTTGCTAAGAAGTTCTGGAATAAGACTTTCAAGATTTCTGCTATTGGGAAACGTCCATCCAAATCCCTCCTGTACCACAAGAAACTTCTATCCTCTTATGGATAGAAAACTACCTAATTAAACTCAGTAGTTATCTCACTTAATTCTTAAGGGACTTGGCAATATTTTCAAGCTGCCTACTATCTTTGACAACTGAGAGTTTTTATCTCTATTGCGGTTAGACATTTGGTTAGATATTCACATGTAGCTAAATACAGAGGGAACCAGAACAACCTGAGCAAAATAAACCGTGTTTTCTTTTGAATATTATCATCTGAAAACTACTTCACAACTAAATCACATTGGTTACCAGAAACGTTAACGTAATTCCATGAACAACTTCCCAGAGGTCACAGAGCTGCTGTTCTTGCCATCTCAAATTTTATGTCAGAAGTGAGAACAGCTTACATGTGCTTTTGTTAGTGAGAAAAGGTTGCAGACTTTGAGCATGTCACTAAAGAGGAAGGAAAGAGATACCACAAACCAGCTCAAACCCTTCACACGCTGAGCTGCAGAAGTCACAGGTAGTGCCTGCGGCATCCCCTATAAAATCCATCTTTCTGGCATGACCTTTTCCTGCCAGCTGCTTCCTGCTTTCCAGCCAATACCTGTTCTACCACAGCAGTCCTCAGCTGCAGCACAGCACTCACACTCCCATTTCCTTATTTCGCCATACATTCCCTTTCACTATACAGGCAAAAAAAAATTCTTTTCTCTCTCTTTATCCTCTACAAAGATCTGTTTTGACCTATGCACATTTGTAAGGCTACGCTCCCCAGGTTGTGTTGTTATAATGGAGTTTCCTAGACACCCAGATTTAGTTATACTTAAATAAATCCAACAACTAACCTCCAAGTAGAAAGTCTGCAGGTTATATACCTTTATATTCTAAGTGTAATCTTCTTGCAGATTTTGGGGGATTTTTTTGGTTTGCTTTGTTGTATTTTATTTTTACACTGGAAAAAACTTTTAGATTTAAAGAAAGTAACAATTTCTATTCTATTTGGGTGTTTTATGAATATCTGCTTATGACAACCAAAGGATGCTTGTAAGGTGCCATTTACTCCTCTTTAAACATATATATATGATGTAAGGAAAAAGAAAACACTTTTTGCGTCATAGGGTTTGCTAAAGGAGTGTCAGGTTGGATTAGCAGTTTTTTCAGCATTCAGGTCACGGCTGCCAAGACATTAATAAAGAGCTTTTCTCCCAGCGCTTCTCCTGTAACAAAATACAGGATTTTAAAAAGTAACTGAAATATTAACCTCACCTTTGCTTGAGTTGCAGGCTGTCATGTTCACATCTCACTTGTTCTTCTGTCATTCAGGGAATTATTGACCAAATAAGGGAGGTAAGAGCAATTTTCTATAGAATCTGTCTGAACACCATCTACAGACACTAAAGATCAATTTAGGGATTATGTTGGGGTTGGGGAAGTGCCTTATTCAAAGTTTTCTCATATCCCAGATCCCTTTATAACAAATGAGTTTGGAATTATATACTGCAGCCATCACTTTCTTGGTTTATTTAGCTTTCTTTTAAAATCTACCTAACCTAAACTATTGTGCTTTCCAGACCCTTTAATTTTAAACAAGTTTCTTGTAGATGCAAATGTACACGATCTGTTTACATTATTATTCATAAGCAATATAAAACAGCTGAATGAGACATATTCTGAATCTATCTTCTATTCCTTATGTGACTCCCACACAGGGAGGAAAATTTTCTAAATCTTTCTAGCTGGTTATCATGCGATGCCTCACAGAATCACAGAATGGTTAAGGTTGGAAGGGACCTCTAGAGATCGTCTGGTCCAGCCCCCTTGCTCAAGCAGGGACACCTAGAGTATGTGGCACAGGGTGGCATCCGGGCAAGTTTTGAAGATCTCCAAAGAAGGAGACTCCACAACCTGCCTGGGCAGCCTGTTCCAGGGCTCTGTCACAGTAAAGATGTTCTTCTTCACACAGAGATGGAACTTCCTGTATTTCAACTTGGACCCACTACTCCTTGTCCTGTCACTGGGCACCACCAAGAAGAGTTTGGCCCCATCCTCCCTACATTCACCTCTCAGGTACTTCTACATGTTGATCAGTTCTCCTCTCAATCTTCTCTTCTCTAGGCTAAACAGGCCCAGCTCTCTTAGTCTTTCCTTATAAAATAGATGCTCCAGTCCCTTAATCACATCCATTGCTCTACACTGGAGCCTCTCTAGAAGCTCCACGTCCCTCTAATACTGAGGAGCACAGAACGACACCCTGTGCTCCAGGGTCAGCCTCCTTCTTGACTATACACTGGAGACCTGTGTGCGTGAGCACGGCACACGGTACACGCGGCCTCTTGGGCAACGAGGAGGTAAAACGCATGAAGCCTATCAGGTTAAAGAGGCAAATGAGTATTGGGGTCATGTGGCTACAACAGACACCTTTGCAGTCTGTGTCAGCTTCACTCAGAGAAGACTGGGGCCTTCAGATCAGGCGTCTGCCCTAAATTGTGTTTAGCTGCCTGTGTTTTCTACTAGAAAGAGAACGGGTGTCAATGACAAGTAAAAAAACTGTTCACCAGGTCCATTGGATATGTCCCCATGTCCCCATGAGTTATGTTCGCTCACAGGAACGCATTTGAGGAATGAGCACATTTTGCTGGGACCAAAATAGGCTTATGGACAGGAAGAGAAAAAGAATGGGAACGAAATGGGCCTCCCCCTGTTTGAAAATCAGTGCATAAATTGGAGGTGCCACGGCAAAGTTTATCCTAGACTGCAGTATTTTAGAAGCTTGAGAACTACCACTGGAGTGATACTACAAAAAAAGGAACTTCTTACATGGCACTTTGCATAGCAGTTCCCTTCAGGTACCTTATCTCATTGAAATTACCTGGCTTTCCCCAGAAGCTAATGCAATGAGGAAGATGGTCACATGCTAAATACAGATTTGACAGAGATCAGATTGTGAATGAAATGTAAGAAAGTGGTGGTACAACTACCATCAGCATAGGCTATTTTAGGAATCTTCCATGACTATTTCCTTTACCTTAAAACACTTTCAGATCACTGCAGGTATGTATTACTTACACATCCTGATTTGATCTATTCTGCTTAAAATTCTAATATGACAAGCACAAATGTATATTAATGTTTTAAACTAATGGAAAAATAGTCCTGTAACTGTTAAACCACGTGCAGCTTCATTAAAGTCCATAGTGACTTTGTATTTTTATACTGCCAGTATTTTAATATTTGTCCAACAAAATAAAGAAAGAATAAAGGCCATCTTTGAAATACCATACTAATCTCCTTGTGTTCAATAAATAAAATATCCATCCCAGCAAGTCTGTGAAAAAACAGTGTTTATTATTATTTACAGCTGCAAATGATCCTGAAAAGAACAATATAGAACCGATGTTTCATTAAATCAAATCAAATTAAATTAAAACAAATTAAAGATTTCCACTCATGAATTGTATGTTACAAGTGAGTTCCTCCTGCAATAAAAATACAAAGAAACATTAGGAGCTGTAATAAATGTAATAAATTTACATAACAACAAATCCTTTTTATCATTGATAAAACTGATATAGTCAAAGAGTAAGTTGCCATCTGCTTGAGCTAAAGTATCTTTTTCTTTGACTCCAAACAATGTCTGGGCAGTGCAAAAAATGATGTGAATAATTTAAACAAGTGTGAGTAATTTAGTACTTGTAAAGCTATAGTTACCGTAATGCATCCGTTTTGCAGAACTGAGAATCTAACATTTTTTTCCAGCAATGTCACTTACTGTTGAGGTGGTAAAAGAAAATGAATCCTTTGCTTCCTCTACAAGGAACCAAAACCAAGATGAACTGCTGCCGAACTCTGGACAAAAAAGTCATACTCGCATGAACGCCGAAAAGAGGAGCAGGGCGTTTCTGCAGTCCATTTATTTTTACCAAAGATAATATATGCAATTTTTTAACATATGTAAATGTCTGAAAAATAAGTTTTTAAGAGAAAGTTTCCTTCCTCAGGAAGGAAAAAAAAACCAAAAGCGAAACTTCATCTTGAAGGAAAAAAAACTGAAGCAGTTCACGAAATGTTCGTGGGCAGGAAGGGAAAGCGGCGCGTGAACATATTTATTTTTCCTTACATCCAAAGATAATATATGCAATTTTTTAACATATGTAAATGTCTGAAAAATAAGTTTTTAAGAGAAAGTTTCCTTCCTCAGGAAGGAAAAAAAAACCAAAAGCGAAACTTCATCTTGAAGGAAAAAAAACTGAAGCAGTTCACGAAATGTTCGTGGGCAGGAAGGGAAAGCGGCGCGTGAACATATTTATTTTTCCTTACATTTCAGGAGGAGCGCCCTGCGCTCGCCTGCCAGCCAGGACTGCAGATAAGCGAGAGCAGCCAGCGCGAGCAGGGGCAGAGCAGCAGACTGG